TTTCTCTGGGGATTTTGGCTTGGCATAAATCTTGCTGCATTTTCTTTGAGTAACCCAAGTAGACCATTTCTTCAGTCTGGTTTTTTTAATATCTCTTATAGGGTGTTCTGTTATTTTACAGACATGTTTTACATGCTGGTCAGAATCATTTAGATTTGCCAAAGCCTCTCTCTTTACACAGATTTTGTCCTATAAAAGGGCTTAGTAGAACCGTTAAAGCCCCACACCATTCTCGAGGTCCCAGCTGAATTAAGCCTTCTTTCATATCTCTGGTGAGCACAGTCTTATCTGGCCCAGTGAACTGGACATCATGTATATACCTAGTTCTCTCAGGAGTGCCTGCCCCTCCTTTATAGTCCTCCAGCCCCTGCTAATCATGTTAGTGTCCCTTGGTGACAACCATGTATCTTTAATGCCTTCAACCAGCCATCCCATTAAGGACTGCTCCCCCCTGCATTGGCCTAGGTTGAACAGGCTATGTCATAATGGTGGATGGGTGGTTATATAACTCAGCTGTGAAGCTTCTGAAGGACTTAGACTGACGTCAGTTGCTCCCATGTCCCATACTCTCACAAGCCATGTGGCCAGGGGCTCTCTGCTTGTTTGCTTGTAAGTTTTTCTTAGCTGCAACACTTCCAGCATGGAATATTTCCTAGCTGTAGTCAAGTTAGCTTTTTATTCCTTTTTACTATTATCTGTCATTTTCTCTGGGTCCTTGAACTTTACACAAGTCAAAGCGCCCTGCTTTTCCTCTGTCTCCAGGTCTGCCCCTGGGTCTGCCATGCCGCCTTTTCAGCTTTTCCCCCTGGGGCACATCTTTTATCTTGCAAAGTGGCTGCTCTATTTTTCTGGGAGCTCCCTTTGGGTCCAGAGCAGATAAAAGATCTTCTAACTTTTGGGTAACTTTTAACAAATCTTCACATACCCACAACATATCCCCACATTTACAACATAGCTGTGGCCCACACTCCTGCGTGACTGGTCTTTTTTTAGTAACCCATTGTAACAACCACATCAGCACCGCCATTGGCACTCTTCTAAAACTCATTCTCAGTTTCATCATATCCTGCCAGGCTATGCCAATTTTTGTCACCCAAATTCCCTCTGGGTCTCCTGCACTATCAAGCAAACCATATAACATATCTTTATGTGAGTTTATTATGGTTTATGCCCTCAGGTAGGGAGGGGGTAAATTGGGGAACTTACACAGAGACAAGCACTCTTGCACAGCCACCAGATGCTCCCGTGGCCATGCCCATGGTCTCCGTTAACTTTCACCCATGCATCTTGGGCCTGCAGTATCATCCCAGGTGGGTAAATGCCCCCTGGCGGCCAGGTGGGTGAGGCACTGGGGCCATCTCTCTCTCCACACCTGCTGCCAGGCACATTCCTCCTGGCTGGAGGCTTCAGTCCCAAGATGGCTCCCAGACACCCCTCAGTAATCCACACCCTGCGGCAGGCCCTGCCCCTTGGAGGTCTAGCCAATTGGGAGATACCTTAGAGATAGTGGGGTAGATTCAGAATGTAGAAAATTCTAAGACAGGTGGCCCTAATCACTTTAAAAAATTCAGGGACATGAAGCTCAAAAACCAGTTTTGAAAAATTCCTTGAGACTATATAATATGTAATTTTTTTTTGAGATGGTCTTGCTATGTGACCCAGTTTAGCTTTAAATCCTCCATCCTTCTGCCTTAGTTTCCTAAGTACTAGGATTTCAGAAATGGCCCAGTCTCCTAGCATCTAGTATGTGAATTTTAATTAAATTCTAGATTGAAAAAAAATTCAGAAGACAATTGTTAAAATGTGAATATTGATCAGATACTAGTTGACATTAGGGAAAAAATAAGTTTTATGTGAAAATGTAATTGTGAATATGTTAGAGAAGGCCTTATTTGTAGATCATTAATGCCAGAGTACTTAGAGATATAATCAAGATACTAGATTTACTTTGTTCTGCCAATAGAGAAAAAGAAAGAATGCCAGGCGTGGCAATACATGTCTGTAATCCCAGCACATGGGAGGCAGGAGCAGGAGGATCATGAGTTCAAGGCCATCCTCAGATGTATAGTGACTTTGAGATTAGCCTAGTCTATATGAGACTGTGATGGCTAATCCTGGGTGTCAACTTGACTGGATCTGGGATTAACTGAAATGAAAGAAATCTTCTTGATTGGATCACCTGAAGCTGGAAGACACACCCTAAATGTGGGTGTTACCTTCTAATGGCAGCCAATATAAAAGGCCATGGCAGAGGAGAACGCCAGGCTTCTTGCTGCTTGCCTTCTCTCTTGCTGGTGAGTTCATCTTGCTGCTGTAGACTGAAGACTAGCTGACCTTTTGGAATTCATCAGACTTTCAGCACCAGACCAGGACTACTGAGACATCCAGCCTCGTGAACTGAGCGACTACGGATTCTCAGCCTCTCCAGTGTGGTGCAGCCATTGTTGGACTACTCGGACTCTATCCTGTGAGCTAAGCTGATAAATCTCTATACATATACATTCTACCGGTTCTGTTTCTTTGGAGAACCCTGACTAATACAGAGACCCTACTCAAAAGAAGAAAGAATACACATGACAAAATGTGAACTTTTTATCTAAACTGTATGTATTTGAACATTCATGGTAATTATTCATGTACATGTATATATAAAATTTCTCATACAAAAATTAATATGTGTCATGTTTTGTTCTATTAAAGTTTGCATTCACTTTGCATCTTGAAGTTGAGGACCTTATTAACTAGAGGCTCTACCTAGTTTGTTGACCCTCTACCGTCTTTTTTCCCTGACTTTATCTCTATTATTTCCCTCACTCCTCTTCAAACATACTGACATTTGTTTGCACTTTAAGGCCTTTGCTTTAGCTCTTCCGAGAACTCTATGTCAAGGTTTTCACTAGGCTGATTCATTATTTCCCTTAAGTATTTATTCAAGACCTCACCTTCCTTTTGAAACTTACATTATTTTATTAACATAAATGCTCCATCCCTTTATCCTCCCAATTTTCCACACCCTGTTCTTAATATATTTCCTTAATTACCCTTTTCTAAGAGATTCTATGGCCTGTTTTATGCTTCTTAACCAAGATTGCCTAGTCCCTCCCAGGGCCAAGATTAGTGTAAGGAAAATGAGGTACTTGGTCTGGATACGGAATTCAAGGGAGCACCAAAATGAAGAAACAAGACAATTCACTAAATCACAATATAAATTTTTAATACAACATTAAAAAAATTATAGTTACTATAAAAAAATCCATAGTGAATAATATAGGAGGATTTTAAATAGTAAGATACAGTACTGCTGTGCTTAGCTATTTTATTTTTTTACTTTTTTATTTTTTGTGTATGAGTATATTGCCTGCATGTAAATTTATGCACCTGTGTTATGTGTCATGCAATGCCCATGGAGGTCAGAAGAGGGTGTCAGATTCCCTTGGAACTGGAGTTATGGACAGTTGTTAGCTGCCATGTGGGGGATGGGAATTGAACCTGGGTCCTCTGCAAGAGCTATTTTGAAGCCTAAAGCAAAGGAAAAAAAATATGTGCCCTTATATGAATATCTTTTAGTGAACTTTTAAATGGTTAATGGTTTTTATGAAAAATGCTACTGATGCGTTGCTTACAATAAAGCCCAAAAGAGTAGAATAAATTATTCTTTGGTATAAACAGAATACTTAAATTATACCTTCAACATGTTTTAATTTTTCACTTCTTTTCAACTGTTTTTCTATTCTGGAAAAAAAACCTGCATTCTTTTAGAAACATGCATATAAATATTTAATTCAAAAAATATTAACATAGGGCTAGAGAGATGGCTGCTCTTTCAGAGGACCCAGTTTGCTTCTCAGTACCCACATCTGATTCCCTCATCTATCCTCTGTGGACCTTGCAAAAAAACTTCATACACATAAATAAAAATAAATTTTAAAAATTAAAGAAATATTAATATATTTATTAAAGCTATGTCATAGTTACTTCAAAGTTATACAAATACTTCATATTGTAGCTTTTAGCTATAAAAACTGCTAATTTATTTTTTTTTTACTTTTTTTAGTTTTTTTTTGAGACAAAGTCTCACTATGTAGCCTTAGCTGGCTTGAAACTCTCTATGTAGACCAGGCTGGCATCGAACTCACAGAGATCTGCCTGCCTTTGCTTCCCAAGTGCTGGCAAAAAGTAATTTTAAAAGTAGGTCATGTTTGGGGATTTAGCTCAGTGGTAGAGTGCTTACCTAGCTAAGCACAAGGCCCTGGGACCTGTCCTCAGCTCGGAAAAAAAAAAAAAAAAAAAAAAAAAAAGTAGGTCATGTTTAATTTTTTAAGTTCTTAGGTATTTAAATTAAGAGTATAATTATTTAAATCTGTTGATTTTTTTTAATATGCAGCGAATATCAACCTTGCTTAGACTAAAAAATGAGATTCTGCTATAATTGTTTTTTTGTGGTAATCTAAATATTCTAAATAATAGGATAAATTGTAAGTAGTTAGGTACAAGCACAAACAAGCTGATTCCAGTCATGCTCTATATCAAGAACAGGTTCTTCCTAAAACGCTAGGAAGTAGTCCCTCAAACTACAGTATTAGCTCCTTTACTGAGGATGAGCGGCAGCAATTCTCAGAACCTAGGAGGAAGACAGTGTACAAAGGATAAGGATTCTACAAGGTCACTTTGATGGAATTGCGAATATGGGATGAAGGGGAGGAATAAAGACTAGTGCTAAGAAAATACTATCTACTGTTTCTGAAGACCACAGAAAGAACGCCATTTATCAAATGTTGGGAGGTAATCTGTGAACAAAGCCACATCATTGCTTCAAAGGGAAATGTGCTCAGGTGCCAGGCAGCCAAATTAACAAATTTTTGATTCTTCATTTTGTTGTTTGTTCAGATTGTATGTATTCTATATTTCAATTGGGTTTATCAAATCTAAAATTTTATAAGACATAAAGTAATTTAATTTCTTCTTTGGAAAATTTTTTAACTGTTGTTCTTCTCATTTAGTTGGTGGAACTTCATGTTTTTTATGTCCCTGAAGGATCGTGGAACTATAAATTAAATACTATTTCAATAGAAGGTATTAATAAATTTATTTCTGCTGGATTTATAAGGTAAGCATTTTGTGGTCATAAAACAAGTTATCCAAAAAAAAATAATTTTGGACAGCTTCAGAGAAACATGTTTTTTGAAATTTTAAGAATTTTATAAATGAAAAATATTTCCTTCATACGATGTATCCTTCCCTAGTTTAACAAATATTATTGTGTAAGGACAGGGATATGGATCAGAGGTAGACTGTGTGCCTAGTATGCCTGAAGCCCTAGGTCTGTTCACCAGCACTGCAGTAAAATAAATCTAAGTTAAATAAACATTGTTATAAGAACAGAGGTCAACAAGTATGTGATTCACACCTTTAATCTCAGCACTCTCTGAGATATCAAGGCCAGCCTGGTCTCCAGAGCAAGTCCAGGCCAGTTGTGGCTGCAGAGAGACTCTATCTCAAAAAGAACAGATATTCCCTGGCCATAATACTGCTAACATTGTATACCTGTATACAGAAAACATTGTATAACCTGTTTATAGTTAAGATTCAAAAACATTGTATAACCTGCTTATAGTTAAGATTCAAAAACATTGTATAACCTGTTTATAGTTAAGATTCAAAACCTTTTGAAGAATTGTCACTAATAGTTAAAGCAATACATTTAGTGTCCTTAGAATTGTTTGAAAAAATAAAAATGTATATATGTATGTATATGTGTGCTTTCATATTCAATCAGACATGACACTGTAGTCTGACTGTTCTCTCGAGTAGATTTCTTTCTCTTCTTAAACTTCTCCATCATTTTCTTCACTCACATTGACTTACTTTCTGTTCTGGACACATTATATACAGTGCTGAGCTGCCAAAATGGCTCAACAGGTAAAAGCACTTACCTCACAAGCCTAGTTACCTAGGTTTGATCCCTGGAACCCATGTAAAGGTGCAAGGATAGAACTGACTCCACAGAATTGTCCTCAGCCTCCACATATGCCATGGTGTGTGTACACAGAGATACATTATACATGAGCAAGCATGCACACACACACACACACACACTTTTTTTGGAAAAGTATATAAATTCCATAACAAATTTTTGCTTTAATCATAAAACTTGGAACATAGATTAGCCAAATGTTCATTTTCCTTTTCAGTGTAAAAGACTTTCTAGTCAGTACTCATTTATATAAGGTTAACAGATTTTTTAGTAATTTGTTTAGAAAAATACTTAACTGAAGACCTACAAAGTCCCAGGCAGTATAAAAACATAATATATTAAATTATATCTAATACATTAAATCGGTGTTTATGTTTGAGTTAGCTGGCTAAAGATATTGATTCATTAGTATATCCAAAGTCTATTTACTTTTACATTATAAAGCAATTTCATGATATTTCAGAATATCTCCTCAGCTTACTTTACAAGCCCTGAGGGAGCACCTTGGTGAATTTCTTGGTGTAGCTGCTGTTGCAGAAAAATTTTTATTTCTGAAATTCATTGGAAATAACTTAGCTGTGGTAAGTTTTCTTGGTTTTGTGTTTTAAATAAAGTCTACATTATGGAATTATGTTTCTTAGATACTTATCAAAATCATCTTATTCTATGAGATGTTATTCACAGTCATAGTGAAATGGAAATACCGCCTAAGCAAAAAGATCATGAATGATGGATCTGATTTATACGTTGTAGGGCTTAAAATAATGGGTCTGGCTGAAGATAACATTCAGTTAGTAAAGTGCTTACCTAGCATGCGTGTGGCCCTGGGTTCAATCCCCAGCACTGCATAAACAAGGTATGGGGGCACATGCCTGTAATCCCAGCACTCAGGAGGTAGTAGCAGGAAGAATAATAGTTCAAGATCATCCTCAGTTACATAGGGAGTTCAAGGAAAGCCTAAAATAACATGAGGCCCTGTCTCAGAAAAAAAAAAAAAAAAAAGGTAGATTGTGTGAGTGCGTGTGTGCATGCATGCGTGTGAATTTAAAAGAAAAAGGCAACCTGGTCATTAATATATATATTTTTAAATATAAGTAAAATGAATGTTTTTATGTTTTTCAGTAAATAACTTGTGTTCTAAGAAAATTAGGGTCTTTTTATATTTTGTTCATATTTTTTTTCTTTTATTTATTTATTTATTTATTTTTACAACCACTTCCCAGATAGCACCCTCCCATAGCCTCCCTCCCCCTACTAGAGCCCTTATACTCTGATATCCCTGCTACTGTCTGCTGTATTGTCGGCACCCCCAGGCATTCCCCACTACTTGCCCTTCTGGGGAATCTAGTCAGGCTATCTAGAGGCCTTTGTTTAGGAGGGTCAGCTCTTCCTCATCTAGCGGTAATCAGTTGTCAGTATTCCTCTGGATAAGACTGGGGTCTGCTGTTCATTTTCCCAGTTCTATGCTGGGGTTACTATCTGGGAGTCCCTTTGGCCATCTTGGCCAACAACTCAAAAGAAGGTATCGCCTGTCTGGCATTGTTGCTTGTTATGTAGCCTTTAGCTATACATATGGATTCTTAAGAAATTATATTGGTCCCTTTAATCTTTGGTTATACTGTCCTTTTGGGTGTTTAAGGCCATACGGTTGGTCCAGATAAACCAATTTATTTTTACTCTTCAGGTCATTTGAGGATCTGTTCCTCAGGGGTCTCATGGGCTTGGGAGGAGCCCCTGGCTCCTTTATTTCACCAATTCCGCCTGTATGAATATAAGTCAAAGCTCCAGCTCGACCATGGTTGGCTTCGCTTGGAAGCATGGAGGAAATGATTCCTCTGTGTTGATCCTCCTCTTTGTAGACTGGACACTGGTTCAAGTCCATCTGGTGGGGTCTCCTCAGCCTCCTTGATCAAGAGGACAGGTGACCCACCACC